TTCTCGGACATTCAGGCCGGTAAAGATGTTTATCATAAACAGAGCAGCTTTGGACTTGTATCTATAAAATAACAACGTTAAACATAAATAAAAAATGTCTTTAGATAAATAAATTATGGACCTAGATAGATAACAGATGACGCCAGAGCAGTTATGAATACGAGATTCATGCGGAAGATTGGTTTATAACAGTAAATTCGACCTTGTCTACCCATAAGGTGAATGGATGGCCGAGTGGTTAAGGCACGTCATATATGACGTATAGGATGTCTGAATTATGAACGAATATTTCTATGAAAAACATTCAGGCCGGTAAATGTTATTTAATACTGTTTATATAAACAGAGCATTTGCTTAAATACTTGTATCTATAAAATAACAACGTTAAACATAAATAAAATGTCTTTAATAAATAAATTGTCGGAGATAACATATGACGCCAGAGCAGTTATGAATGATGGAGATTGTGGTTTATAACAGTAAATTCGACCTTGTCTACCATAAGGTTCATGGTGGCCGAGTGGATATTTTTATGAACGAATATATGAAAATTTCTGACATTCAGAGAGGTAAAGTTATATATATGTTTATCATAAACAGATTCATTTGCTTAATACTTGTATCTATAAAATAACAACGTTAAACATAAATAAAATGTCTTTAATAAATAGATAGATAGCTTAAGATGGACACTTATAAATTCATGGATATGCTTTTACAATATGACAATATCTGAGACAGAGAGGTAATACATATATATATATTCATTTCTATCTATCTTGCAGTGTTCATATATCAGAATCTTCGTATCTATCTATCTACCTAGCTAGCTAGATAGATTAAAAGAAAGAAACGAATATAGATAGATTGATCGATTGATTGAAGGATTGTTTGTTTTTATTATTGAACAATATTTGCATGTTCGGGTCCTGAGGTGGGGAGTGGGTGAATTTGAATGTCCACAGGCGGGAAGTGCGAGAAAAGAAACATTTGCAGTTGAAGTGGCGGTTCCATTTAGCCATTTCAAGAATAAATGGGTGGGACCTAGTTTACAATCTAGTAACACGCATAAATTCCTGTAATCGGGCAACCAGAGAAAAAAGCTCGTTAACGCAATTGCCATGGAAACTTTTGCTGAAAAGACAGAGGGAAACATCTGTGAGAAAGTGAGCGGAAATGAAATGCCAGATCAGGATCGATTACATAACAGATCTTTCTTTGGATTTTGTCAAGTACCTCAAAATGAATAACAAGAGCACGAGACCATCTATGGTAACAGTATTAAATGCACGGACGAATGTTAGATTTGTCAATATGCAAGATGGTTTCCGACGAGAAAAAATCTTTTGTCACGGCACAGTGACCCAACTATTCTTGCTTCAGATGCAGCTACTGATTTTGTGTAGTCGCTCCACTTCAAATCTGTGGAAAATATAAGGCGCAGAAAGCGCTGAATGATGCTTTCCAGAGGTGTAGCGTCAACTGTGCTGATGGCAAGCAGAAATACTTCAATACGGTGGTTAAATGAAAAGAGTTTTGTTATGAAGGTGGTGAAATTTATTCCACCAAACTCCTTCTGGGTCATGAAAATGCCGTCTCACTGATACAGTTTCAGTAGTAAATAGGTATTTAGACGGATTTGAATCGATCGACCAACGCTCCATCCAGTGAATTCAGTGTTATTTTTCGGAAAGGTTTCTCTAGAGCGAAAGCTTCCTTGAGCGAAAGGTTTCTCTTGAGCGAAAGGTTTCTTGAGCGAAAGGTTTCTCTTGAGCGAAAGGTTTCTTGAGCGAAAGGTTCTCTAGAGCGAAAGGTTTCTTGAGCGAATGGTTTCTCTTGAGCGAAAGGTTTCTTGAGCGAAAGGTTTCTCTAGAGCGAAAGGTTTCTCTTGAGCGAAAGGTTTCTTGAGCGAAAGGTTTCTCTAGAGCGTAAGGTTTCTTGAGCGAAAGGTTTCTGGAAAGAAAGGTTTCTCTTGAGCGAAAGGTTTCTTCAGCGAAATGTTTCTCTTGAGCGCAAGATTTCTTGAGTGAAAGGTTTCTCTTGAGCGAAAGGTTTCTTGAGCGAAAGGTTTCTTCTGAGCGAAAGGTTTCTTGAGTTAAAGGTTTCTCTTGAGCGAAAGGTTTCTTGAGCGAAAGGTTTCTCTAGAGCGAAAGGTTTCTTGAGCGAAAGGTTTCTCTTGAGCGAAAGATTTCTTGAGCGAAAGGTTTCTCTTGAGCGAAATGTTTCATCAGCGAAATGTTTTTCTTGAGCGAAAGGTATCTTGAGTGAAAGCTTTCTCTTGAGCGAAAGGTTTCTTGAGCGAAATGTTTTTCTAGAGCGAAAGGTTTCTTGAGTGAACGGTTTCTCTTGAGCGAAAGGTTTCTTGAGTGAAAGGTTTCTCTTGAGCGAAAGGTTTCTTGAGTGAAAGGTTTCTCTAGAGCTGAGCGAAAGGATTCTTCAGCGAAAGGTTTCTTTTGAGCGAAAGGTTTCTCTTGAGCGAGAGGTTTTTTGAGCGAAAGGTTTTTCTAGAGCGAAAGATTTCTCTTGAGCGAAAGGTTTCTTCAGCGAAAGGTTTCTTCAGCGAAAGGTTTCTCTTGAGCGAAAGTTTCTTGAGCGAAATGTTTTTCTAGAGCGAAAGGTTTCTTGAGCGAAAGGTTTCTCTTGAGCGAAAGGTTTCTTGAGTGAAAGGTTTTTCTAGAGCGAAAGGTTTCTTCAGCGAAAGGTTTCTCTTGAGCGAAAGGTTCCTTGAGCGAAATGTTTTTCTTGAGCGAAAGGTTTTTTGAGCGAAAGGTTTCTTGAGCGAAAGGTTTTTCTAGAGCGAAGGGTTTCTTGAGCGAAAGGCTTCTCTTGAGCGAAAATTTTCCATAGCGAAAGGTTTTTCTAGAGCCAAATGTTTCTTGAGTGAAATGTTTCTCTTGTGCGAAAGGTTTCTTGAGCAAAAGGTTTCTTGAGTGAAGGTTTCTCTTGATCGAATGGTTTCTTGAGCGAAAGGTTTCTCTTGAGCGAAAGGTTTCTTGAGCGAAAGGTTTCTTTTGAGCGAAAGGTTTCTTCAGCGAAAGGTTTCTCTTGAGCGAAAGTTTCTTGAGCGAAAGGTTTCTCTAGAGCGGAAGGTTTCTCTTGAGCGAAGGGTTTCTCTAGAGCGAAAGGTTTCTTGAGCGAAAGGTTTCTTGAGAGAAAGGTTTCTCTTGAGCGAAAGGTTTTTCTTGAGCGAAAGGTTTGGTAAGTTTGTTGTATATACAGGGTTCCCATTTAAAAAAAAAGGTAAATTCAGAAAAACGCGAGACAACCGTTGAAAACTGTTGATGACTGATGTGACAGAGAAAATTCAGCAAGAAATTATGCACTTTTAGACAATCCTCACATCAGATGTTCTTTGTAAAGTATGGTAACTTGACGCTTAAAATCAGCCACACGAGAAAGGCAGAAGTAAAAATGAAAGTTGCCTGCAAATAACATTTAAATGTCGAGTCACAAGATCGAGCAGCAATTATAAAAGAGCCAATCAGAGTTAAGTAATTACGCAAGAATTGAATAATTATTCAAGGTCATGAATATTCAAGAAATTTATCCAAGGTTATTCAAGGTTAATTATTACACAAAGATAGAATACTGATGATAAATTTGCCGCTTTTTTACTGGGCACCCTGAAGACCATAATGATCACGAAACAGTGCAACTAATCGGCCATTGACCTATGTAGGCAGAGGAATGGACCAAACGAATGCCATGTGAATATGAACCACAAAATAATGAAAGTAGCACCAATTTGCAAAGGGTGCCCGGTTAGAAACCCGCATCCATCGCATCGTTGCATCTTGCGCCACTAAGAAAACAAACCACCAGCAAAATCAGCTGAAAATATAAGTCAATGGACCATGTCACAAGTTGCCATGGTCCAAAGATTGACGTTAAGCTCCCTGTTTTGGTTAGGTTTGGTTTGTTTTACGGCATACTAACCTCATTGGGTTACTATTGCCGACAATTTTTATTGTTTTGTCAAAAATCTATTCCTGGTAATATTTTTTCCTTCAAAAATCTATTTCTGGTAGTATTTTTTCCTTTAAAAATATATTTCTGGTAATATTTTTCATTCAAAAATCTATTTCTGGTAATATTTTTTCTTTCAAAAATATATTTCTGGTAATATTTTTTCCTTCAAAAATCTATTTCTGGTAATATTTTTTAATTCAAAAATCTATTTCTGGTAATATTTTTCCTTCAAAATTCTATTTCTGGTAATAATTTTCCTTCAAAAATCTATTTTTGGTAATATTTTTTCCTTCAAAAATATATTTCCAGTAATCTTTTTTTTTTTTAAATTTATTTCTGGTAATATTTTTCCTTCAAAAATCTATTTCTGGTAATATTTTTTCCTTTAAAAATTTATTTCTGGTAATATTTTTCCTTCAAAAATATATTTCTGGTATTATTTTTCCTTCAAAAATCTATTTCTGGTGATATATTTTTTTTTTAATCCATTTCTGGTAATATTTTTCCTTCACAAATCTATTTCTGGTAATATTTTTTCATTCAAAAATCTATTTCTGGTAATATTTTTTCATTGAAAAATCCATTTCTAGTAATATTTTTTCCTTTAAAAATCTATTTCTGGTAATATTTATCCTTCAAAAATATATTTCTGGTATTATTTTTCATTCAAAAATCTATTTCTAGTAATATATTTTTTTTTAAATCCATTCCTGGTAATATTTTTCATTCAAAAATCTATTTCTGGTAATATTTTTCATCCAAAAATCTATTTCTGGTAATATTTTTTCATTGAAAAATCTATTTCTGGTAATATTTTTCCTTCAAAAATCTATTTCTGGTAATTTTTTTTCCTTCAAAAATCTATTTCTGGTAATATTTTTCCTTCAAAAATCTATTTCTGGTATTATTTTTTCCTTCAAAAATCTATTTCTGGTAATATTTTTCCTTCAAAAATCTATTTCTGGTAATATTTTTTTCCTTCAAAAATTTATTTCTGGTAATATTCTTTTCCTTCAAAAATCTATTTCTGGTAATATTTTTTCCTTCAAAAATCTATTTCTGGTAATATTTTTCATTCAAATATCTATTTCTGGTAATATTTTTTCCTTCAAAAATCTATTTCTGGTAATATTTTTTCCTTCAATAATCTATTTCTGGTAATATTTTTCCTTCAAAAATCTATTTCTGGTACTAATTTTTTCCAAAAAGTATTGCTGGTAACATTTTTTCCTCAAAAATATTTTCAAAAATATATTGGTAGTTATTTTTTCTTTTTCAAAAACATATTGTTGGTGATATTTTTCTTTTCAAAAATTTATTGCTGGTAGGCGTTTGCATTTAGCTAGTTCAGCAGTAAATTGTGAGACCTAATTGCCAATCAAGTAGCACGCTTAAATTCATGTCAGTAGAAGCCACGAAACTGCCAAGAACAGTCAATGATTTATTTTTAATCGGTTGAACCCAAGCAGGGCGATATCACAAGAACGCAGGGTACAGGGAGTGAAAGTGAAAGAGAATGTGAAGTCTGGGAAAGGGAGGGTTTGAGGAAAAAACATTAAAGGAAAAAAGTTTGAAGGAGAAAGAAGATGGCGATTAGCGTTGCATTTAAATTTTTGAGGATTGTATCAAGGAAGCAAGAAATCAAAAGAGCGTTCTACAAAGAAAATTGTATGAAGAGGCGTTTGCATTTAGCTAGTTCGACAGTAAAATGGTGAGACCTAATTGCCAATCAAGTAGCACGCTTAAATTCATGTCAGAAGAAGCTACTAAAAACTGCCAAGAACAGTCAATGAGTTTGTTTAATCGGTTGAATCCAAGCGATATCACTAGAACGGAGGGTACAGGGAGTGAAAGTGAAAGAGAATGTGAAGCCTGGGAAGGGGAGGGGTTGAGGAAAAAGACATAAAACGAAAAGTTTCCAAGGAAAAAGAAGATGACGATTAGCGTTGCATTTAAATTTTTGAGGATTTTATTAGGGAAGCTAGAAATCAAAATAGCGTTCTACAGAGGGAATTAAACAAAGTGGTGTTTGCATTTAGCTAGTTTAACAGTAAAATGGTGAGGCCTTATTGCCAATCAAGCAGCACATTTAAATTCATATCGTCGGGTCACGAAAGAAAAAAAAATGCAGAACAGTTGGCATGAAAATATTTGTAGAAAAGACGTCGGTGTCACGTCGGTGAGAAAAGTGTCTTCCGTCGAATGTTTTCTTTTGATTCTACTAGCAGTAGAGCCCGGCGTTGCCTGCGGATGTAACAGTAAGAGATAGATCAAGTATCGACCATCATAAAGACTGAAAAATAAAATTGACAAAGATTATTGTTTAAGGTTGATGGACACGCATGTCTTAATTAGTTTTTTTTTTTTTTTTACGAAGTGGTCAAACCCAAACTCAAACAAAAACATTGTTTTCAATCGTTATGATGAGTCTACCGATTGAATAGAATTTTATTATAAACAATTGTCTTGTAAATGGAATTTTTAAAGCATTCTGAATGTAAAAATAAAGAAAAAAGTGGGCAAGACAATAAGAAACACTACCTGCCAAAAAAAGTGAAGTTTTGTTGAAATCGGTTGAAAAATGAAGGAAATCCGATCCCATATATAAACACAAACACACACACACACACACAAACAAACAACCTGGGTTTTATAATAAGTATAACTCGATATGAGTTTTCCCCTTTCATTCTTGCGATGCCTCTTAATCTTTTTTTCAAATTGATTTCATGCAAAAAAAAATTGTGTTTTTCCAATTTTTGGCACTGTCAGAACGACCGCAAGGTAAATTTACGTAGTCATGTGAAGTTTTGTTGAATTCGGTTGAAAAATGTAGGAAATCCGATCCAATATATAAACGAACAGACACACACTCACATACACATACACACACACAAACAAACTGGGTTTTATAATAAGTATGATTACAGACCCTTTTTTTGTTTTTTTTTTTTCAAGATATACAGGAGAACCAGACCCGATATGGCAACAATAAATTTCGGGAAATGTTAAATGTGCAGCTGGAAAAGCGGAAATCATTGATCCAGTAATCAATCAATTTAAGAATGTGATAGAACATGTCTCCCCAAATGTTTGGAATAAAGGGAAAGGTTTTTTTTTTTATATATAAAACGCTGCACATGGGGCCCAGATAGAAATATCTTCAGATCCGAGGCCTCCAACTACAACTTGAATTATGTTGTCTTCATGCGCCATATTTTTTACATTTCAACTTCAAGATTCTTGTATTTCGATAAATTTTTTTGAAGAGATAATCTTAGATACATTACAATCTTTAAGAACTACTATGTCAATAAGAAAACACATTCAGTTTTTTGGTCTTGTATCACAATGTCTCCGCGATTAACTTTGATTGTTCTGTCAGTGTGTATTGCAAAGTCCAATAAAAATTTTACAGGCCCTATATCTGTCACCAGGTCTCGGTGATGTTCATAGCAGTTTTTTTTCTTTTGCAATTTCCTTCCCATAAAAGAAGCATATTTTTCAACACATACACTGGCCGACTCTATCATACCGAGTTTTATATTCAATGGATGCTAAGACAGTGCAACCTGATACAAGATGGTCAGTAGTTTCTGAATATTTATCACAGAATCTGCATTTGTGTTAGCGCAATTTTTTTAGAATGGGTTTTTGGTAATTTCTAGTTAGCATGCACTGATCCTGTACAGCAAGAATAACACATTCTGGTTAAGGTTTTAATCCTGCATTATGTAAATCTTTACGTGTATTATTATTATTATTATTATTATTATTATTATTATTATTATTCACTGATATTTCAGACGAGTGGTAGATATTACTGAAAGGAGGCTAAAGTAATAATAAGTCTCTATTTTACTCTAATGTTGTCAATTGCTTTTCTTTTTTGTCTTTTTTCTTTTCTTCTCTTTCGTCTTCATGCTCTTTATTTTTATTTTTGTTATTTGTTTTTTTACTTTATACTAGACTTTTTCGTTTTATTTCATTCATTCATTATTTCTTTCTTTCTTTCTTTCTTTTTTCTGTCTTTCCCTATTCCTTGTTCTTCTTTCTTGCTCGAATTATTGTTGTCATCATTGTCTTTCTTTCTTTCTTTCTTTCTTTCTTTCTTTCTTTCGGCTTATAATCTCTCACTTTATTCTCCCCATACGTGTTTGTTTGTTGTTTGTTTGTTTGTGTGTTTCTTTCTTTCTTTCTTATTTATATCTTTCCCTATTCCTTGTTTTTTCTTTCTTGCTAGCATTATTGTTGTCATCATTGTCTTTCTTTCTTTCTTTCTTTCTTTCTTTCTTTCTTTCTTTCTACTTATAATCTCTCACTTTATTCTCCCCATACATGCTTGTTTGTTTGTTAGTTTGCTTGTTTGTTTGTTTGTTTTTGTTTGTTTGTTTGTTTGTTTCTTTCTTTCTTTCTTTCTTTCTATCTCTCATTTTACTCTTCCCATATATGCTCCTTTTTTCTTTCTTTCTTTCTTTCTTTCTTTCTTTCTTTCTTTCTTTCTTTCTTTCTATCTCTCATTTTACTCTTCCCATATATGCTCCTTTTTTCTTTCTTTCTTTCTTTCTTTCTTTCTCTCATTTTACTCTTCCCATATATGCTCCTTTTTTCTTTCTTTCTTTCTTTCTTTCTTTCTTTCTACTATCTCTCATTTTACTCTTCCCATATATGCTCCTTTTTTCTTTCTTTCTTTCTTTCTTTCTTTCTTTCTTTCTTTCTTTCTTTCTACTATCTCTCATTTTACTCTTCCCATATATGCTCCTTTTTTCTTTCTTTCTTTCTTTCTTTCTTTCAACTTATAATCTCTCACTTTATTCTCCTCATACATGTTTGTTTGTTTGTTTCTTTCTTTCTTTCTTTCTTTCTTTCACCTTATAGTCTTTCATTTTACTCTCTCCATTTATGCTTCTTCCTTTCTCTCTTTCTGTTTCATTCGTTCTCTCTTTCTCCCTCCTTTCATTGCTGAGTCCTTTCTTTGTCTCTTTCTCCCATTCTTTCTTTCTTTCTTTCTTTCTTTCTTTCTTTCTTTCTTTCGTTTCTCTTTTCTTTCTTTATTTTTCTTCAGGCGATATTCCTACGTCATTTTATTTTTCATTTTACGTGTTTTTCTCCCTTTTTCCTTTTTTTTCTGTCTTTTTCTTTTTTTTTTTTTGTTATTTCCTTCTGTTCTTTTTTCCTTTCTTTTCTTTTTCTTTCTTTTCGTCCTTTTCTTTATCTACTTCTCTATCTTTCTTACTTCATATTTCCCTCATTCTTTGCCATAATTCTACATTTTCTATTTTGTGTTACTCCATCATTTTCTTGTGTTTATTTTCTCCTTCCTAGGGACATTCCTCTTTCTTTATTCTTAATTTGTTCCTTTCCTTTTTTTCTCTCAGACTTTCTTCATCATTTAACGCGATTCCTTTTACCATTTCCTTTTCTCCATTACTTTCTGTCTTTCCGCCTCCTTTGTTCCAGTCTCCCAACTTTCTCCTAAATGGCGCTCGCGTCGAACGCATATTTCCTTCGTTAACACCCTCCCCCCAAAAAACCCTACTTCAATTCCTGGTTCGATCTTTCATACCCCTTACACTAACCTCTTCCATTACTTTTTCATAAATCAAATTATTTCAAAACCCGCTAAGAACCTCTCCATCTTAAATTCCAAGAATTTCAAAATGGAGATTTTTCCGTTTCTTCGATAAATCAAACTTAAACCACGTTAACCAACCAGTGGATTTCCTTCGTCAAAGAAAAGGGCTTCCATTTAACATGCGCGTTATTTGCTAATCTTAATCTCATAATCTTCTTTTATCTTTGTCTGGCTGCCAATTGATTCGATTATTTTCCCCTTTCTGTGACGACGAATAACTTGTTTTACAACCCCTGAGCATATCTGTTCGTATATTACGTTAAAACACTTTATACTCAGCTGATCAACGTCAACATCTTTTTATAACATCGTTGTCATCAACAAAAGCACATATGTCGTCTGTGTTATTGTTGGCATTTCTTCGACTGCAGGCATTTTCTGTTGTTTTCCTGGTGTTTACATAAGCTTCTCAATTTAGGGGCGCTAATATTATTGTTCATCGAATTATTTTAATAACATCAGCAAATAATAAAGTTATAAGAATAATTTTATCTTGAATTGTTATTAGATTGTCAGGCATACATTTTTTTTATCTAGCCTTTTTTTTAAATTACAATGTTTTATTTATATTTGTCAAATTACTAGTAATTATATAATATTAAATTTTAACATTTTTTAATAGTTTTTTTTATTATTATAAATCTTTATTTAATTTAAACTAATATTAATTGTACTAACACCAGTTGTAGTAATGTTAGTTTTTCCTAATATTATGCTGATTTTTTTAATTAGTCATGGCATTGTTAGTCATTATTCGATTAACTAGATCCGGTAGCAAGTGTTCTGATTGGGAGATTGGAGGTTTCGAGGTGTGTGGAAAAATCCTCTTCTCAGAGCTCGACTCTTAAGAGACGACGTGGAGTCCCACGTCGCCGATTTAAGGATCAGCTCAAAGATCAGAAGACAAATAGAATATGTGAAGAGAGCCTAAAGAAAAGCTAGAGGTCCCCATCCTCTGAACCCGCTGGTTTGCTGCGGACGTCATTTCAGATCGAATATCGGACTCATTTCACACAAAAGGAAATTTCGATATGCACCCCAATAACCGACATTGAGTCTTGCCAAAAACGATAACGACGCCTACAGAAACACTTTAATTACCGCTATTCCCAGGTCCACCCTGCCCGCGCTGGTAGTACCTGTTAGGTTCCCTGCTATGCGCAAATTGTGACCCCCTCCCAAACAATAACATTATGAAAGTATTGAAGGTCGTTCTCAACGGATTCTCCTCCAGTTGCTATCCCACGAACGCAGGTGTTCCTCAAGGCTCCATCCTAAGCCCCACTCTATTCTTTATCTACATAAATGACCTTCCTGACGCCATAAATTCCCAAGTTGGCATCTACGCGGATGACACCACAATTTATTCCTGCCTCAAAAACAAATCTAGTGTCACTGACAAAAATAACCTGGCCGTGCGTCTCGAAAAGGACCTCCAATCGGTTGTGAACTGGGGCAGGAATTGGCTGGTCAACTTTAATGCCTCAAAAACAAAACTGCTCTCTATTAATCACCACAGAGATCCTTCCCTGCCCTCCATTAGAATGTCTGACGCTCAACTTCTCGAGAGCAACTCTCTGCGGCTGCTCGATCTCACGTTGCTTGCTGACCTGAGATGGAACAAATACATTGAGTCAATTGCTTCGTCCACCGCAAGGAAAGTTGGCTCCCTGTGCCGCGCCAGAAAATTTTTCTCCCCAGAATCGATCCTCCAGATCTACAAATCAACAATTCGCCCTTGCATGGAGTATTGCTGCCATATATGGTCTGGAGCCCCTTCTGTTTGCCTCGGGGTTCTTGATAGGCTCCAGAGGCGGATATGCAATATAATTGGCCCTGTTCTGGCATCTCGTCTACAGTCACTTTCTCACAGACGCGCCGTCGCCTCTCTCTGTCTGTTTTACAAATACTTTCATGGCGATTGCTCCGAGGTTCCCAGACTTCATGAGTTCAAGCGCCCGACGAGGCTGGCATCCCGCTCTCACCCTTTCACTGTCAAAACTATTAAATGTAACCGTCTCTTCTACTACAATAGCTTCATGACTCGCACCTCTCGCCTGTGGAAGTCCCTTCCCTATTCCAGTTTCCGTGAGAGCTATAATCTCCAGCTATTTAAATGTAATGTCAATCGATATCTCCAGTTGCCTTGATCTATCCACTATCCTTCTCCTCATCCTTTCCTCTATTACTCCTATCTGATCTTGCTCCAAATTTTCTGTAACCCCTTGCGTTTTAGTGGCTTCTCACCTTGCTTGGGGTGAAACGCTTAAAAAAAAAATATATATTTTCAAAGTAAAAACACCAGCAATAGATTTTTATATACAAAAATTACCAATACTTATTTATAGTAAAATGGCCAACGGTACATTTATTAGCAAAATGACCAACAACATATTTTATCTGTAGTTGAAAGCATACAATTGAGTTCAAATATATTTAGTTGAAGCCATGAAATTGCGTTAAAATATTTAGATTTCGGCATTAAATAACCCATAGAAGTGTTGACATGTCGCTATAGAAAAACCACCAACCAAACAATCGCCATGAAAGAATTCTTTCATGACATTAATCCATATAATTTCAAACAGTATTCCAAAATATAACTTCAACAAAATTTCGACACATATCGCCTCTCGTAATGATGTCCATCCAAACACGTATATGTACAAAAGCTGAATATCGTCTACCATGTATTCAACTGTGAAAGCAGAATAAGAAATTTTATTTTTATTATTTCAAACCTCCCAAGAACATTAAATTTCGGCATTGAAGGACCCATAAAAGAGTTGATATGATAAACAAATCAGATCAAATCTAATCAGCCATTATTAATTTCTGACTACGATATATATTCTTAATTTTTGTTGCGTTAATTACACTAGTTGTTTAAGTAATGCTATTATTATTATTATTATTATTATTATTATATTAGATGAGGAGTGAAGGTAGTTAAAATAATAGCGGTGTCAAGCGAAACAAAACGTCCGTTTGACAATCCGTTCTTCGTGGGGACGAAGTTTTGGGGTTTTTTTTTATTCAGGGCAGAGGTAACTTTATCAAGCTGGTGGGGAAAATCAAGGTATTGAGTTGGATGTGACGGGTGATGATTGAATGTGACGGAAGGGAAATTTCACTAGTCTCAATCGCGTGACTAAAAGATTGAGCGAAGTCTAAGAATTTGCTTGTCTTCGAAATTTGTAGACCAAAGTGTAACAGTCACTATCAATTTGTGAAAGTGTCATGACACGATAATAAATAAAAGCAATAAGAAAATAAAATGACATCAAGGACTGTCGTCAAATTGTTTTTCAGATCCAAGCACGAATATAACTGATGAAGGGACACACACACACACACACACATACAGGGACAGAGACAGAGAGAAGGAGAAAGAGAAAGACGTATCTTTAAAGATTCTGATAAATATTTAGAGCTTCTTGCTATAATCATCGGAATCAGCAATATTATTGTCCACAGCCTGGCATCTCAGCTTCGGTCACTTTCCCACCACCGTAAAGTTTCTTCCCTTGGCCTTTTCTAAAAATACTTTCATGCTAATCGTTCTAATGAAATGTCCTCTTTCGTACATGGACTTTATGAGTCCAAGAACGATAGCCACGTCTAGATTGAACCGTAAGATTGATGCCAACATTTATTTCCATCACATTTCTCGTTAATAGAACTCTTTTCCGGGTTATTGCTTTCCAGATCCTGTGTATGAGGGTAAACTTCAAGGCCTCTGATCGGAGACTGGAGGTTTTGACGGGCGTAGAAAACACCTCTTAATTGCTGCTGTGCCCAGGTCCACCCTCACCCGGGGTGGTAGCATCTCTTAGACTCCCAGCTATGGGCAAATACCGGCAATAGATTTTTTTTTTATGTTTCTTCTACTGCACTTCCGGCTTGTGGAAGTCTTTTTCCGGTTCCATGTTTTCAAACCATCTTTGATCTTCAAAAGTTTAAATACAATGCCAATCATTATCTACTATCTTCCTGATTACACTTCGGGTTATCGCCCCTTACCAATGTTGCACTTTTCTAATTCTTTCGTACTTAGTGGCTTTATTGCCTTGCTTAGGATAAATTCGTTTAAATACAAGAGGTGAGTTAAAATAATATGTATTTTTGTTTTGTTTTGCTTTACAGCATATCAACATCTCAATGGGTCATTTAATGCCGACAACTGTTTTTTTTTTCCTTGTAATATTTTGCTTTGTCAAAAATCTATTTCTGTTAATATTTTTTCCTCAAAAATGTATAGCTGGTAATATCATTTTTTCAAAAACGTATAGCTGGTAATATTATTTTTTCAAAAACGTATTGCTGGTAATATTTTATTTTATTCAAAAATTTATTTCTGGTAAATATTTTTACAAAGTATTTCTGGTATTAAAGCCTATTTTTACACTTTTATAATGCTTTTTGCGTCAGTTTCGGGTTTAACTATTTACCCATAGCTGGGACCCTAACAGGTGCTACCACCCCGAGTCAGGGTAGACATGGGAACACCAGCAATTAAGAGGTGGTTCTACGACCCTCAAAACCTCCTGATCAGAGGCCTTGTTGTTGGATGTAGTTTATTGTCTTACCCTGTACGCGGATGTAGTTTATTGTCTTACCATGGACGCGGATGTAGTTTATTGTCATACCCAGGACGCATAAATTAATAATATTCTGCTGGAATTATTATAACATTTTAATTGTCGCGGAAGGACGTCTCTTCCGGATTCTTACTTTCCAGTCAACTTTGATCTTCACATATTTAAATTACAATCACTTATGTGCTAATCCCCTTGATAAAGGTATGAAGCCTGGGTAAATTGCAGGACAGAGCGGGTTCTATAAGATCTATGGCAACCTGTCTACCGCAGAAAGAAATAGCAACCTACTGCGGGGAAAAAAACTGCCTTGTCAATCATGTATCGAAAGATAGATGATCGCCTCATCGTGTATCATGCATGGCAATAACCGAACTCTCTCTCTCTCTCTCCTCTCTCTCTCTCTCTCTATATATATATATATATATATATATATATATATATCAAGAAGCGAGAGCAAGATCTAAAAGGTCAGTCAATCTAACAGTGATTTCATCCCACAGTCCTCACTCTTGCACCATATGTGGCCTCCTTTGTAAATCACTACCGGGTCTTAAATTATTTTAGATTATCGCACAAAATTTTATAACTGAATCAATTAAGCTGTCAGATCCTCATACGTCGAAACCGACGGAGGAGAGTCCATTATCACTGTTATTATATATATCAGTTCATATACGATTATATAGTTATATATATATATATATATATATATATATATATATATATATATATATATATATATATATAATTTTATATAATGATATGTATATATATATATATATTATTTTAGTATATTACAACGAAAACAGGTGAAAATCAATTGCAGTCGTGTTACCTATCTTCTCTCTCTCTCTCTCTCTATATGTGTATATATATATATACATATACATATATATATATATATATATATATATATATATATATAATTTTAAATTTAAATTTAAATTTTTTTTTCATATTCTCTCATACTCAGTCAACCTTTGCATCTTTGTAGATTTATTGACTTATTATATTATTTTAAGATATTACACCGAAAACATTTGAAAATCGCTACACAATTGCTGTCGTGTTAGTTATATATATATATATATATATATATATATATATATATATATAGTATTGTAAATTTAAAGCAGATATTTGAAAATCCTTCGTGATTTGGGCCCACGCTAAACAAGAACAATTTTCAGTGATGTAATTTTCATGGTACCTATTGTAGAATCTTACCAATCAGGGTGAAGAGTCTTTTTCTTTCAACAGAAAATATTCCTGAAGAGGAAGCTGTTGTATTTTTCCTATTTTTTTTAAATACTTTATTTTCGCCATTTCTGCTTGCTTTTTAACATCACTTCGCTTGACAGCAAAAAGAAAAGTTCTCATCGCATCGAAATTGGGAGCGGTTTTTATAAACATTAGAAAAAAACAGACAAGGGATGTGCATTTTGTGAGACTCTGGTCAAAGGTCAGATTGCTGTTGTCCAATTCCGTTTATTCGCATTTTTATGCCGTTACATACATACATTCATACATACATATATATATATATATATATATATATATATATATGCGTATATATTATTGTGTTTATAAATATTTTCGAGCACTTGTCTCTCTATTTATGGGCGCGTATGGATTTTAAGGTGTGGTAACTTTTAAGGAATTTGACAAAAGGAAACTTGAGCCAGGAAAAGAATGCAAATAAAAATATATTGCATCACAAAGTTGTGGATATCACTGGTGGATTACGATTTAATAGGCCCATGAGATGACACACGCGCACATATAGACATGCGCTCACACACACACACATACACATATGTATCTATATATAGTTGATCAATTACGTTCTAATAGGTCATAGGAAATCATGCACATACACACATACACAGATATGCACACATACAGATAGATAGATAGATAGATAGATAGATAGATAGATAGATAGATAGATAGATCTGAGCATATCCGATAAAAATAGATAGATAGATAGATAGATAGATAGATAGATAGATAGATAGATATGACCATATTCAAGATAGATAGATAGATAGATACATAGATATATAGATCTGAGCATATCCGAGAAAAATAGACAGATAGATAGATACATATATAGATACATAGATAAATAGATATGACCACATTCTAGATAGATAGATAGATAGATAGATAGATAGATAGATAGATAGATCTGAGCATATCCAAGAAAAATAGACAGATAGATACATATATAGATACATAGATAGATAGATTGATATGACCATATTCAAGATAGATAGATAGATAGATAGATAGATAGATAGATAGATAGATCTGAGCATATCCGAGAAAAATAGACAGATAGATAGATAGATAGATAGATAGATAGATAGATTTAAGTAAAGTAGTGGATACAGTTAAGTAAAATATCAGTTTACAGTAAATACTCGACAGGGCGGCTTTTAAGCTAGCTGTGATTTGGGATACAAAAGGAAAATAAGAGTTACTCCCCTTGAACTATGAAAGCAACGATAATGGCTAGTATAATATATTAATATATATTCTTAACTTCGCATAATCTGGCAAACCTTTATCGTTCCCTGCGCCTAACTTTACTAGCGCTTTAAATGAGCTATGAATCATTGAAATCGGACCAATAATATAATAGACTGTACTTTATATATAAGATTAAAATGAATATAAAGAAATTCATGGAAGAAATTCAGACCACTTTAGACGCTGACCATTCGCTGGGAAAAATTTAATAATTGTCACTGGTTCATTTGAGGTATACAGAGAGATTACGGCTTTTGTTTCGTCTTTTGTGCAGTGACCCATCAGGTCGTGGAGGATAATGTTTCTCCATAAGTGCCTATCCTTTGTTTCGCTTTGCAATGATTTGTCTCTCTGTCAACTGTCTCTTTTCTTTCCGTCAGCTTTTAAAAAAAAACTTATCAGATGTGACGCTGTCTTCTGTGTCTATTGCCTTCGAGATGTCCTCTGAGTGTCAAATTCATCAAGCCCACTTCCTCATTACATATCCCTGAAGTCTTAACTGAATCATTTTCATTCTGTGTATAAGTGATGTTTTTCTTTCCATTTTCTTTTATAGTTCTTTGTTGCTTGCTTCTCTCTCTCTCTCTCAAATTAACATTTTTTTTAATTTTAAATTGTATCAGTGTTTGAGACTCTTATATTATATTCTTACTCTGTCCTGGACATTGAGTTCTAGCTGGATTCTATCCTCTTAGGAATTTATATATATATATATATATATATATATATTAAGAAATGGACAAAGTCCGACAATTTATTTATTAAAGACATTTTTATGTTTAACGTTCTTTTTTTTATAGAGTATTTAAGTAAACCTCTGTTTATAATAAACAGTATTAAAGTATTAAAATATTCGTCCTTTGACAGGATTCGAACCTGCATTCTATACGGAACCGTCATTTACGCTGACGTGCCTTAACCGATCGGCCACAAAGGAGCGTTCGGTAGGCAAGGTCGAATTTACTGCTTATAAACTTCAATCTTCCATGAATCTCGTACATTTATAACTGCTCATGGCGTATCAAATGTAAACAAATGACGTCATATATTAAAAAATGGACAAAGTCCGACAATTTATTAAAGACATTTTTATGTTTAACGTTCTTTTTTTTATAGATACAAGTATTTAAGTAAATACTCTGTTTATAATAGGTTAAGGCACATTCAGGCCAGTAAATGTTATTTAATACTGTTTATTATAAACAGAGCATTTACTTAAATAGTTGTATCTATAAAAAAAGAACGTTAAACATAAAAATGCCTTTTAATAAAATATATATATATATATATATATATATATATATATATATATATTGACCACTAATATTATATATATCTATATAAAAGTGAAGATAGAAGTCAACACTTAGAGGCGACAATCTATTTCATACTAGACGCAATCATCAGACCACGAGCGTTGTTATTTTTCTCGGCTATTTATATATACGGATCAGTGGTGCATTGTGGGTTATCTATTTTGACGGTTATTTTTCCGGAAGTCGTTCATTTTTTTATTTGTTTATTTGGGTTAAATTATTTTGCTTGGCATTTTTTTTTTTATTTCTTATATATTTATTTTTATCTTATCTTTTATTTTAATCGTTGTTTTATTAGCGCAGTAAAATTTTTGTTTATATCGCTTATTTAATAGGTTTGTTTTGTTTTGAGAAGATAATTAAAGCGATTTATTCAATTTGGTGGTTGATTATTGTAGTTTATTTTAACTATTATTTTGGCGGGAGCAGTTTTTAATTTGTTTATTACTTCATGTATTTATTTGCATTGATTATCTTTATTTGTCTTTCCTAATGATTTATATATATATATATATATATATATATATATATATATTCTCTGTATATGATATAAAAAGTGAAATCAGTGAAAGGAAATACGTTCAAAAAGTAACAATTGTTAATGTATCATCTTAGAATTCAGACAACTTCAAGCTATTAATATTTGTTTGAAAAGCAAGAGAAAAAAGATGAAAACACACTAGTCAGGAGTTAAGAATATTTGTTAATGATTCCTCTCAGAAATTAAGACGTCACATTATGGTAATAATGATTAGTCATAACTTCTTTGAATTTCACGAATTTAATAATTAATTAATACTTCGACGATTAAAAGATAATGCGACAGGAAATAAAATCTCATGAAATATCAAATATGACAATACTTCATGTAAGATATTCAGGCAAATTAAAATTATTTTTTATCATTTCTATATATTCATACAAAAAAAAAATATCTCTGACAACAAAAAAGGTTTGATAAGGTTTGAATGTCGGAGATTCACTGACATCATAGCAGCAGAAATTAGCCTTGTGTTCACGGAGATAAAAACATACTTGACAGAAAAAATAAAACGTATAGAAATAACAGGTAAATGATGGTAAATTGTATGTTAATTTCATACAATTTATTTATATTTTTGTGTGTATTGCTGCGTGTATTTTTAGGTTACAATTGTTTTATGGTAAAGAGAAAATTTACTTTGTAGTATTACAAGCCACATCACAGTGAGAATTTGGACACGTGTTGTCCGTATCAAGATTCGTATTGAAGAGATTGAATTTAACGTCTTTTGGCATGATGAACGTATTTCCAGTAGGAACAGTTTTTATTGCATGCATGTTTTTATTGTCTTTATTTTTTTTTAATTATTTCATTAAACGTTTTTACGTTATTGTTTTATTTATAATTTTCATTAATATTATCATTTTATATTTTATTTTTATTCATTTATAATAATAATATTGCTACAGATCTATGCCTTACCTGTTATTTCTGGGAACGTTTCCTCCTTTTGTAATGTAAGCATATGTTCATTATTTTTATTTTATTTTATTAAAGGTCATGTTCCTCGATATTTCTGTCACTTTCTCTTAGTTACTGGGGAGAGGTCCAAACACATATTTCTGTAAAAGGACACGTCTGGGTCAACGTAACCACGACCTTCTCAGGGTAATTTGACATTCTAGAACTCCGTAGTAAGAAGCTTCAGCAAACAATATACATGAAGGGGTATTGAAAAGAGCTGAGTTGATATAGAAGCCCTTCAATAAAAATAAAAAAATGAAGGAACAAAGACACGATTTTACAAAAACAGATGGAACATCACAAATTTCTTTAAGAGAAGTTGAGAGTTGAAAGTTTTCGACTTAATAAAAAATAAAAATAGATAATTGATGTTGCCAAGATCTTCGTTAAAAACGAATATTCTACCAGTTAGATAACTTTTATGACAGTGACTTCTTATAATTGATCTATTTTAGTAATAGTTATTATTATTAATCTCTTATTGTGCCTAATAAGATCTTCGGTAAGAACGAATCTTCTATCTATCACATAACTTTTATTACAGTATATAGTTATAATACTCGTATGCTTATAATTATTTCAAACATTTCAACTTAAACCAAAGGGATAATTCCACTAACTTGCTAGAGGTTTACTAAGAGAAAAAAATGAATGAGAAGACTTTAGTTTTAAGAAGGTACAATAAAAGATCATATTTCAGGAAGATAGAAGATGGCGATAAGACGCAAGGTGTTACTGGGATTGAAAGAGAATGAGAAGACTTTAGTGAGGAGAAAGGACAATAAAAACACCGGTTTCAGGAGGACAAAAGACGACGATAATGCCACTAAGGCTCAAAGGGTTACCGGGGTTGAAAGAGATCGTGAAGATATTATTATGAAGAAAGGACAACAAAAGAACAGGGTTCAGGGCGACAGAAGATGGCGTTAATGCCACCAAGGCTCAACGGGTTACCGGGGTTGAAAGAGATCGTGAAGATATTATTATGAAGAAAGGACAACAAAAGAACAGGGTTCAGGGCGACACAAGGGTTTACTGGGAGAAAGGAGAATAAAATAGGTTTCAGAAAGGCTGCACATAGCGAGAAAACTAAGCCACAAGGTGTTACCGGGTATGAAAGAGAATCTGAAAACTTTAGAGAGGGGAAAGGATAAGAAAAAGAAACCCAGACGAGGCTATGTCGAAGGTCAGAGTCTCGTTCGGGGAGGTAGACCGACCCTGAACCCGTTTATACGGGTTCGAAGGGAATATTTTTGGCCTAGCCTACGAGCTCGGAGAGCTCATGATAAACTCGGCCTTGTGTCACCCTCGTGGGGGTGGGGGCTGTTAAATATATCTAGCCGAAATCTTTTTCGGCTTGCTACGTCGAACTCTCTGCCTCTGAGCAGAGAAGAACCCGGACGAGGCTATGCCGAAGGGCAGAGTTTCGTCCGGGGAGGTAGACAGACCCGATCCCGTTTATGCGGGGTCTACCCTGATTTTTTGGCCGCGCCTCCGGGCTCGGGAACCTCACTTTAAATTCGGCCTTGTGCCACATGTGACTGCGTGGGGCAGTTACTAAATAGCGTCGCGCTGGGATCTTTCCCAGCTGCGCTAGTCGAACTCTCTGTCTTCGAGCAGAGAGGAACCCGGACGAGGCTATGCCGAAGGGCAGAGTTTCGTCCGGGGAGGTAGACCGACCCGATCCCGTTTATGCGGGGTCTACGGGGATTTTTTGCCTGAGCCTCCGGGCTCGGGAACCCCACTTTAAATTCGGCCTTGTGCCACGTGTGACTGCGTGGGGCAGTTACTAAATACTGTCACGCAGTGGCTCAGTCAGTTGGTCAGTCAATCGAGGCCGGACGACCGTTAGTCGGATACTAAAGTATCAGCGACTATAACTAGATTTCTCTGCGTCATTACCTATTATATCAAGTTCCTAACATTTTGTACGTCGAACCTATTTTAGGACCGACTTAGTACAAATACAAGCCTCCACTGTGAAATCACTCCATAACAAATGGTCATTACAATTTCTAGTACAGAAATCTGGCTACATGCAAATAACAAGGCAATGTAATTATAGAAGTCATCCACAAAACAATTGCTGATTTATAAAAATTAGAACAGGACCAGACAGTAAATGAATAATAAAACACATTTTAAAAGCTGGTTTTGTAATTAATATCTCCATTCACATGCGAAATATAAAAACTGCTTTTTGTCTGATGTCACAGTTTTACGTAAGATTTTCAGATACAAACATACCCTGTGTAACAGTAAAATTGTCCAAATCGTGTAACTGCATGAGATTATTGTCCATCCCACAAAATGTTTAATATTTAAAAAAAAACAAAAAACAAAAAAACAAAAAAAAAAACAATAAAAAACACACAAATCTGAGTTTCTTTTTTCCAGGTTTTTATATAAAAAATATATATATATTTATCCATCTTGACACTATTTGTCGTAAGAATCACTGAAAAAAACCCTTTCACTTATTCACCTACTCCTACTTATTATAGGTGGGAGAGTCTATTAACTATAGAATAGGTGTGTTCCACTATAACAATATCTGACAATTTCTTTAGTCAAAATTGATTCTAAAATATAACTTCAACCAAAATACAGCGTACAAAACGTATTATCGCCTCTAGTAATGATATCGACAAACACGTGTGCATGGAAAAAAACCTAAGTATCATATACCATGTATTCAATTGAACAAAAAATTATAACAAATATTTTATTGCTACAAAGCTCCCAAGAAAATTCAATTTCGGCATTAAATGACCCAAAAAGAGTTGACATGCCGTAAAACAAAATATCAAACATTCAATCAAAAATGATTTTAAAAATTTAAATGCAATGTCAGTGGCTATCTTCTGTCTTCTTAATACCTGTCCTTTTATTGTCCTCTTTCCTTAATAGTATTTTATTTTCTCTTATTCTTTCACCCTCAGTAACCCTTTGTGTTTCTACCGGCTTCTGGCTTTCCCAGTTAAAATTAACCTTCCAAAATTTAAATGCAATGTCAATCGTTACCTTCCGTCTTCTTAATACCTGTTCTTTTATTGTATTCTCTCCTTAATAGTATTTTATTTTCTCTTATTCTCTCACATTCAGTAAAACCCTTTCATTTTATCATATTCCCTTGTGTCTCTACCGGCTTCTGGCTTCCCAAGTTAAGTTTGATTTTCAAAACTTTAAATGCAATGTCAATCGTTACCGTCTCTCTTCTTAATTCCTGTTCTTTAATTGTCCTCTCTCTTTAATAGTATTTTATTTTCTTTTATTCTTTCACACTCAGTAACCCCTTGTGTCTCTACCGGCTTCTGGCTTTACAGTCAAAATTGATCTTCAAAAATTTAAATGCAATGTCAATCGTTATCTTTTATCTTCTTAAGTCCCTCTTTTATATTGTTCTTTCTCCTTATTATTTTTTCTTATATTCTCCCACACACAGAATCTTGTAACTTATTGACTTCATCCCTTTGCTTGGTGTAAGGATTTTAAACAATTACTTTGCTTAGCTCTTTCAAGGCATCTTTCTCATTTCCTATACGCCTTCGGATCTCGGTGTCACATTATCCATTCTCCGTTAAAACACTTCCTAAACATCTAAATTTTCGTACTTGCATTTATTTCTTTGTCTCCAATTCCTAGTTTTCATCTTGGGTTTAATTAACATAAAAACGAATCAATGAAAGATTCATTTGCACTTGTAAGACTATTAAGAATATAATAATTGTCTCAGGTTCAAGCAATCTGAAATACGACCCCCCCGGTAGATTAAATCCTCCCGGCCAGTTTTCACTCACTAATAATATTTGCTTTACATTGAGCCGGTGTCAGTATCAATCGATAAAGGTTCTCAGAATCGAAGACAAATTCCTGTGGGTGAGATCATAAGCTTTCTCGAATGAGATAAACGTTTTCCTCAATAACACCAAGCTTACACAACCTGAGCGACTCGTGTTTGCTTGATAGAGGAAATCGGATAATGCTCCAGTCGTTCTGCTGATTCAGGCAAGAAAAGATTTGAATTACCAGAGCCCGGATCAAAACGGAATGTGAATACTGAGCGTCGAATAGCTGAACGGAGTCGAACGTCATTCAAATATTCAAGTATTAACTTTCTCTGGGAATATGCGATCTAAGCGAAAAGTGATTCGGTTCCCCCACGTTTAAATTTGTATACTTATACATTGTTACGCCTTTTAGAGATTATGAAACTAAAACACGAATAATAAAAACATTAATAACAGAACCACCTCCACAAATAATAATAATAATAATAATAATAATAATAATAATTATTATTATTATTATTTACACCCTGTATCAAGAAGCAAAGCCACTAATGGCTGAGATTGGAGGTTATGAGGAACATGGAACTACTTTTTATTTGCTGATTTTTTTCTTAATGCTTAACGCATCTGGTCAAGGTCATTGTATTGTGATATTTTTATGGATATTTACAGGTTATTATTATTATTATTATTATTATTATTTTCTTTGATTTCTGGCGTTTACATTTCTTTCCGAGTCCCGCCCAGGGACCTAAGGTTAGAAATGGCGTCATATTTCCACTGACAAAAAAAAAAAAAAAAAAAAAAAATTAAATTACATAGATAAAGCCCTTCGTAAGGTCTGGGCTGTACTTGTCAGAACAATTTTTTGTATCTCCTTGAGGCATGGACTTCCAGGAATCCCTTCAATTACTCTACTGCAATCTTTTCCAACCAGTCCTAGAGCTCCAACTACAACAGGGATTGTTGATGTTCCCATATGCCACATTTTCGAGATTTCTATTTCAAGGTCCTTGTACTTTGACAACTTTTTGAATATCTTCAAAGATACATTGCAGTCAGCAGGGACTGCCATATCAATAAGGAGGCATCGTTATTATTATTATTATTATTATTATTATTATTTCCTTTGATTTCTGTTGTGTACACATTTCTTTCCAGGTCTCGCCCAGAGACCTAAGGTTCGAAATGGCATCATGGCATTTTCCCTGTAATATATATATATATATATATATATATATATATATATATATATATATATATATATATATATATTACATAGATAAAGCCCTTCGTAGGGTGTGGGCTGTTCACGTGAGAACATTTTTTTTTATATTTTTTTAAAGGCATAGGCTTACAGGAATATTTTCAATGAGTCTACTGGAATCTTTTCCAAACAATCCTAGGGCTCCAACTACAACAGGGATTCCTGGTAGCCTATGTCTTAAAGAACGTTCTCATGTGCCACATTTGTGAGATTTCGATTTCAAGGTCCTTGTATTTTGATAGTTTTTTTGCAGATCTTCAAAGATACATTGCAGTCTACAGGGACTTCCATATCAATAAGGAGCCACTTGCTTTGTTAGGGGTCTCAAATATCAATGTCTGTGCGCTTATTATTATTATTATTATATTTCGATTTCTGCTATAGTTAATATCAAGTCTGCGGGAAGACCTCAGACAGGTACTGGTGTGTTGTTATGGCTACATTTCATGGTTTGTTTTACCAACTCCCATAACATCATTAGCGTTACATGAACAAAGTTCTTCTTGGCGCCTGGGTTGTACTTATCAAAACAATTATTATTATTATTATTATTATTATTATTATTATTATTATTATTATTATATTTCGGTTTTTGCTATGGTTACGACTAAGTCTGCAGGTAGTGGTGTGTTGTCACGGCTACATTTCATGGTTTGTTTTACCAACTCCAATAACATCACAAGAATTACGAGGACAAAGATCGTCTTATTCTGTGGGCTGTACTTATCAAGACAATTATTATTATTATTACTACTACTACTACTACTACTACTACTACTACTACTACTACTTTCTTCTTCTTCTTCTTCTTCTTATTATTATTATTATTTGTGTATGTTATGTTTCCTGTTTTGTATGCTGTAGAACCGGGTCCAAACTATGGTCCTTTCGCCCTAGAGCCCAGTGCTCCGATTACTATTGGTACAGTCTCAGTCTTCATCCCCCACATCCTGTTGATCTCGATCTCCAGGTCCTTGTATTTGGACAATTTCCCAATAATTTATTATTATTATTTTTATTATTATTATATTTCGATTTCTGCTATAGTTACCACCAAGTCTGCGAGAAGACCTAAGGCCGGTAGTGGTGTGTTATGGCGACATTTCATGATTTGTTTTTCTTACTCCCATAACATCACAAGAATTACGAGAACAAAGTTCGTCTTAGTGTGTGTACTGTACTTATCAAGACAATTATTATTGTTATTATTATTATTATTATTATTATTATTATTATTATTATTATTATTATATTTCGATTTCTGATACGATCACACAGCCTATCAAGTCTGCGGGAAGACCTAATCCAGGAAGTGGTGTATTGTTATGGCAACATTTCATGATTTGTTTTTGTAACCCCCATAACATCATTAGCGTTACATGGACAAAGTTCGTCTAAGTGGGCTGTACTTATCAAGATAACCTTTTGCACTTCTCTTAAGCTGGGATTGCCAGGGATTTTTCAAGGTGTTGTTGTCTTCTTATTATGATTAATAGTATTATTTCATTTTCTCTTTGTTTGCTGGTGTATAGTCATTTCTTCCCAGGTCTCGATCAGAGTCCTAATGTCACAAATGGTATGATGACGTTTTCCACTAAGCATTTATTGAGGAAAATAATCGACTGAGATGACACATATTCTACATAGATAAAGCCCTTCGTAAGGTGTGGGCTCTACTCGTGAGAACATTTTTTTTCTTTAAGACATAGGCTACCAGGTATCCCTTCAATGAGTCTATTAGAATCTTTTCCTATGAATCCAAGGCCTCCAGCTACGACTGGAATTGTCGCTGTCCTCATATGCCACATTGTTAAGATTTCAGATTTCAAGGTCCTTGTATTTTGATAGCTTTTTGAAGATCTTCAAAGATACATTTCAATTTTCAGGGACTGTCATGTCAATTAGGAGGCACATTTTATGTTTGCGGTCGGTATTCACTATGTTTGGGTGATTATTTTTGTATAATCTGTCAGTTTGTAATGTAAAGTCTCATAAACCACTTACAGAACTAATCTTCAAAATCGGGTCTGGGTGGTGTTTATACCAAATTCTTGCAGTTGCCTTTAGGATTTTATCGTAGATATGGCAGTATCATGAAATAGAAATATATCTGCACATATGTGTGTATACTTATATACATTTGGGACTACCCACAATGCACCACTGACCCGTATATATAAATAGTCGAGAAAAAAAAGCAACACTCAAGGGCCTGACGAGTGCATCTAACATGAAACAGTCTGTCGCCTCTGAGTGTTGACTTCAATGTTCACTTTTTATTTACATATGCTCTATCTCTGATATTGAGCACTTTATCCCATAAATATAGCACACGTTTAAACTATATTTCTTCATATATATATGTGTGTGTGTGTGTGAATGTGTGTGTCTATATATGTATGTATGCATATATATATATATATATATATACACACACACACACACAAAACACAAATATATATATATATATATATATATATATATATATATATATATATAGTATAATGAGAAGCCACATATACTTTCTTAATGTGTATATAGAAAAAGTTGCAAATTAAAAAATAATAAATTTCTTTTATGATATATAAATAAATAAATAAATACTTTTATAAAAGAACATTATTATTTTTTTAATTTGCAACTTTATATATATATATATATATATATATATATATATATATATATATATATATATATACGCATTTTGGTCTCATTCGGATATAACCTGTATTTTACTTGATTATGAGTGAAACTAAGATAGATATATAGATAGGCAGACATGAACATACTTGATAGGTATTTAGATAGATAGATAGATAGATAGATAGAGATAGACATAAATAGATTATGATTGATTCATTGATAGATAAACATGAATAGACTGTGATAGATAGATAGATAGATAGATAGATAGATACCAGTAGACTGAGAGATAGATAGATAGATAGATAGATAGATAGATAGATACCAGTAGACTGAGATAGATAGATAGATACCAGTAGACTGAAATAGATAGATAGATAGATAGATACCAGTAGACTGAGATAGATAGATAGATAGATAGATAGATAGATAGATAGATAGATATTAAAAGATTGAGATAGATTGATAGATAGAGATAGATAGAAAGAACAGACTGAGAGCAGAAAGGGTTGTCAAATTTGACAGATTTTTTATCACACACACACACACACACATATATATATATATATATATATATATATATATATATATATATATATATATATATAAACACATTCCACAATGTCCTTATTTATCGGCGTTACGTATGCTGTGGTATAAAGCACTGGTCGTTTTTTTTCAAAATGCCAGTCAAAGATATGCGACTATCATACGATTAGCTTGTAAAAAAATTCCCGTTTCATTTAGATACAAATAAGAAATCAATGATCCTTTAGTATTCGGTCAGTTAGGTGGCATACTTGATACACTCTTTGCCGATCACGTCTCTTTCGTTCCAAGATAGACAAGGCAGAATTTTCCGCTGCAGGTTACCATTTCTTTCCGCGGTAGAATGTTTGACAACAAAGGCTACAGCTCCTCATCAGTCCTGCTACTCAACCCATAGGTAGATTCATACATTTCCCCAAAGGTATTCTCGGAATTCGAACTCGGTCTTCGATTTCTCATTCCATGGCCACAACCCCAACGCTACAGCGCAATATATTTAGTCTTGGTTGCTATATTTGATCAAAATTATATTTTCCCTCGTTATCAATAACATAATTCCATCTGCTTGGTAAATTCTGGAACCCTGGGGCATAAAATTCCGCCCTAATCACAATTAATAAGCTCTCTTGCCTTTAAAAAAGGTTGCAGTGATCTGAAAAGATAGTGGTTGGTGTAGAATAAAGCTAACACCAGATATCAGGTTCGTTCTCAGCTTTTGTTCCAGTTTATAAGTTAAACTTTATTTTGTAACTTATCCGACACATTGGAGTCTATATTTCATCCAATTCCCCCCTCACACACACACACACACACACACACACACACACACACACACACACACAAACAAACAAACAAACCTCACAGAAATGAATTTGTCAAAACTGTAAGCAGGTATATGGAAGAGATATATGAATGTAGAAATGTTCTTAATTAAATTATACACACAAACATATATATGCAGTATAAATATAATTTAATTATTATATATATATATATATAATTAATTAAATTATATACATATATATATATTAATTAAATTATATATATATACATATATATATACATATATATATTAATTTATATATATATATATATATACATATATATACATATTAATTATATATATACATATATATATATCAATTGAATTATATATATATATATATATATATATTAGAAATTTTATATATATATATATAATTAATTTATATATGCATATATGCATATATCTATATATAATTTAATTCCATATATGTACATATATATTAATTAAATTATATATATATACATATATATATATACTAATTCAATTATATATATATATATATATATATATATATATATATATATATATATAAATAATTTGATATCTTTACAAAAAGCTTCCATGTTTCAATACTATGATTATGCAGAAGAAGTACAAATCACAGTATTATATATATATATATATATTTATATTTATGCTCACACTGGACAACTCGGTGTGGTGTAATGGTTAGCAAGCTTGTTTCGCTAGAACAATTACGACTGTTGAGTCTGATCAATCATGGGTACCCCAACATTTGTGCCCACATCTACGCTTGAATCCTATATACACTTACACACACACATATATACACACGCGTTTATTATAATTTAGAAACTGAGATAGATAGACATGAACATACTTGGATAGACATATAGAAATGAACAGTAGCAGATAGATATAAACAAAATTAGAGCGACAGATTTATCATATATATTAACACTTGTGACAGTTAATAATGTTGTCGGCGTGAGTTCTGATTAGAATGTTGTTGAATAAAGACAACTAAAATGGTGACGTACACTGAGGAATAAAACAATGGACATTTTTTTCTTTTCAATGGGTGATCAGAAACATCGATTGGAGGAGGCAACTAAATTTGACGTTCTGAGTCAAATTTTTGACACTTCCTTCCTGAAGCGACTCAACAAAGATGGACCAATCCCTGCCTTTCTTTCATCTGCACATTAGCTAATTTTCTGACGTCACTCTGACGCACTGGACGAAAGAAATAGAGAACGCCATTGCAAATCAACTTGTAATTTGTAATATCATGTCCGATATTTACTGTCCGCTCGGTCCGATTTTACGAGCGTAAATTGAGGCCACGTGGGTCTCGTGTTCGATAACGAGGCTAGCGTTATCTTGGACACTAGACCAATCAAGCTGGCGGCATGGGGAAAATAAAAAAATGGACGTCTATTTTATTGTTTATTACGAATTGAGGCTATCGTCAATAATAGTTTTATCTTTGTTACTTGTTGGTATTTGCCTTTCAGGGTGCCAGTGTCGCAATGATTATCACCATGTGCAAAATAATAACCCTTCCTTTTCTTTTATGTGCATCTCCCTTTAGACTGTTAGTGGTCATGACTCTCCACAACTTCTTATCAATTGTAGCTCTTACCAATATTTATGCCTTTACAATCCTTTCCCCAATTCCTGTTCGGCTAACCTTTTATACGAGATTGTTATATAGGTCAAGGCCGGTACTTACTAACCCCGATCACTCCTCGACCGGGTAGAGGAAGCCTGATTTGGGGGCCTAGGCTAGTGGTTATCAATATGTGCTTTTTTTCCTACCTACATTTATATACGTTACAAATTAAACTAAGGACATCTGACTAGTAAATGAAAGATTTTCGGCGAATTTGACGCCATTTTGGGGTCTTTTTTTTTCTAATCTGTGAATTTGTTTAAATAAATTTAAAAAAAAACACGATCAAAGCCAACGGGGTTACTGGGTGTGAAAGAATATAAGAAAAAGAAAAACATTATTAAGGAGAGAGAACAGCATTCAAATTTTTAAAAGTCAAAGTTGACATGAAAGCAAGAAGACGGAAAAGAGTTTCACAAGCAAGAAGTGAGAGAAAATAAACTCTTGAAGAGAACAGTTTCTGAAGGCGTAAACAGTAGAGAGGAAATCTGGATCAGGAGATCACGACATGAAGAGAGATCATCATTTTAACTTAGAGCTAAAGAGATCAATAAGAAAAGATCCAACTCAATCCGTAAGACGTTTGGCGCATGAGAAATTAGTCCCAGCTACGACAGTCTCATTTGGGGGCCTAGGCTAGTGGTTATCAATATGTCTTTTTTTTTCAGTGAAAAAAGACTTGAAATCTATCTTTTTCAACGGTAAAATGAAAAGACCTTACCACTAATTTATCAGGTCATCCCATAAGTTCTGTCCGAATTTTGAATAAAGAAAACAAGTGACCAAATGTTACATTTAATTCCAGATTCAATCAACAATGTATTTTCCCCGATTATCTATGACTTCCTTCCATCTATTAACAAGCTGACTGATTCCATTACTGTAAAATTCTTTAGGCTTTGATTCGAAGAACTCACAAATGTCAGTTTTAACCTCTTCCTGTGTTACAAAAGCTGTTTCTTCTAAATGATTCTGTAAGCTACAAAACAAATGGTAGTCTGAAGGAGCAAGATCAGGAGAATAAGGTGGATGAGGAATTTTCTCCCAACCAAGTTCTTCGATCTTTTGTGACGTGATTCTTGCTGCTGTGAGGTCGCGCATTGTCCTTATGAAACATCACCTTTTTCGATTCACTAAGTGGTCTTTTTCCTCAAAGCTTGGTTCAAACGCTCTAATTGTTGACAGTATATTTGAGCATTAATTGTTGCATTAGGTGGTAAGAATTCAAAAGGATTATTCATGGCGATCCCACCAGATTGAAAAAGAACCTTTTTGCCCATGAAGTCCCCTTCTCGGCTGGGACTGGGGTCCTTCCCTTTACCAAGCCACTGTCTACGACGCTTAACATTTCGATAAAAAGATCCATTTTTCGTCGCCGTCACAAGTCTATCCAAAAAAGGTGAAACAAGTTGGGAGAATGGAGAGAAAAGCAGATGTCAACTGGGGATTTGAGGTTGTTTTCAGACAATTCATGAGGCACCCATTTTCCAAGTTTAGGAACTTTTCCAAGTTGTTGAAGATGACGATGAACAGTTGTATGGTTTGAACTGAGAACCACTGTCAATTCCTCAACTGATAAAGCAGGATTTTCTTAAAGGGCTGCTTTAAGAAGTTTTTCATCAAACTCATCTGGACGTCCGGTTCGATCTTCATCTTCAATGGTGAAATCTCCACCTCTGAATTTTACAAACCATCTTCTGCTAGTTCTTTCATTCACACATCCCTCTCCATAAACTGAGTGAATGTTTCTAGCTGCTTCGGCTGCTGAGTTTCCTTTCTTGAACTCATAAAGCATTATGTGCCTCAAATGATTCTTGGGTACTTCCATGTTAGCAGGGTTTTAATCAAACAAAATTTAATTTGCATTTAAACTGATCAATTTTATTGTTCTCTGAAATAAAATTTGATCAGTTTAAATGCATCTAAACATAAAAATAATGTTCAGCTCCATTAGACATTATAAAATACTCTTTAAATTTCGTTCATTTTAACAAAAATTTAAAATTCGGACAGAACTTATGGGATGACCTGATAGTACTACGCTTAATTTCATGAAGTCGAAATAACATAGAGGAAAGATACCAGAAAAATTATCATCAATGTGTTAAAATTATTCAACTTTTTGAAGAAGAGAAATCTCAAGTTGATGTTAAAAAATGGCCGCAAAACATTAACTTATTTAATGGCATTTGTATTTAGATACATTGGGTTTATTTTTAATTTTTCTAGTTGAATTGTTCACCTATATTGCTCATAATCGATTATTGTCCATAATTAGGTTAGAATAAAATTTGTATTTTATATGAAGTAAAAATTCCCGTGAAAATATCACTTTTTTTTCTTATTTGAATTTTTTGATTGTTATGGTCCGATTCCTTGTACCACGGTGATAGTCCAAGGTAAGAACTAATAAAGAAGAACTCGAACACTGCTATGGAATAACACAGATATATTACAAACAGGAATATATACAGAGAAGTAGAAGTGTTAGTATGAACAATCAGGTTTAGTAGAGAGAACAATGTAGTCTCGACCAGTATCACTTTATTCTAATGTCTTTGATAATTGTCTGAACGCGACTCTGTTTTGGACTGCTCTGACTCGACTCTTGACTCGACTTGAACTACTGACTCGACTTGAACTACTGTCAATATTCAGTCACCCCCGCCCACGAAGGCGTCATGTGGCACAAGGCCGTTTTTAATGTGGGATCTCCGAGTCCGTGGGCTCGGTCCAAAAATATGCCCATTGAACCCGTATAAACGGGTTCAGGGCCGGTTTACCTCCCCGAAAGAGACTTCGCCCTTCGGCGTAGCCTCGTTCGGGTTCCTCCCCGCCCGAAGGCAGAGAGTTCAACCAAACAGTCGTTCAAGACTTGTGCGACTCACTCTTTGCCTACTCCTGAGGCGCAGTATTTATTAAGTATGGAATAGTCCATTATTATTATTATTATTATTATGGGTAAGATCCCGTAACACTGATGAATCTTAATTCTTAATGATTGGGTAAACCCATTACGAGTTGTACGACAACAAAATATCCACAGGAACACGGATATACCTTTTCCGTGTTTTCCTGTGAACAAAACGGAATTATCCCTTAGTTATACACACTTCTCTCTTCCCCTCTTGCTTTCTTCCTTTCTTTTTCTCACTGAAACCAAGTAGCGTTCCTGATATGTCATTTCTATCTTTTCTCGCGGTGACAACAGAATAGTTCATTATTTATTAGGTATTGGCACGACGTAACGGTCATGCGAACTAAGGATGTAACTAATAAATACAGTGAAAATCAGAATTATTATATAATTCTATCTTATAAAAATTGATATATAGTTGAGTGGGAGTCCCGTATCTTAGATTGTGGGGGTGGCATAATATATTCGGGTTGGGGTGTGATAGCCTTGCATCGGTCCTGATGTTGGTTGCTTGTTTCCCTCTGCCAGTATTGATTTCATTATATGAGAGTTAAATTATCAAAATTCTCTTTTTTTTATTGTATTTCCCAACAGTTTCAAAAGTTTGTTTCTAATTCTAAGTACAAGGTTCCTTTTGTTTCCTTGCTGGCATTCTTTTTCGGTTAAATTATTCCATCACAAGAAAGGTAACAAAGCCACTAAGATGTCATGGGGTTACTGAGTGTGCAAGAATATAAGAGAACAGCATTCAAGTTTTTAAAAATCAAAGTTGCCTGGAAAGCAAGAAGACGGAAAAGAGTTTCACAAGCGAGAAGTGGTAGAAAATAAACTCTTGAAGAGAACGGTGAATAAGTTTCAAAAAGAGGGAACAGTAGAGAGGAAATCTGGATCAGGAGATCACGACATGAAGAGAGATCATCATTTGAAATTAGAGCTAAAGAGATCAATTAGAAAAGATCCAACTCAATCCATAAGACGTTTGGCACGTGAGAAACGTTTTTCAGCCATGACAGCGCAAAGAGCAGTGAAAAAAAGACTTGAAATTTATCTTTTTCAACGGTAAAATGATGAAACCTTACCACTAATTTAGTACTACGCTTAATTTCATAAAGTCAAAATAACATAAAGGAAAGATCCTCAGAACAATTACTATGAAAGTATTTATAGGAAGCTACGTTGCCGATGCTGAGGTATTACCAAGTTGTGTCTTAGTTAATGATCAAAAACAAACGCTTTTACCACAACATTAAAAATCTGACCTGTAGTTGAAAAAATGGCAA